GCTTTCTCAATTCTGCCATTAGTAATTATCATATCAAGAGATTTGTCATTTATGGATGAAACCTGGATTAATGTCATACAGGAAACATTACATGGACTGGCCCTGCACCACTTATGTATACAGTGCACAGTGACCTAAAGATGAAACCTTTCATCCACAGGCAATGCTTGGAACACAGTACATTGAAACCTGTCCATAAAGACCACCCAAGGGAGACAAGAAAAGTTGTCTTTATAGGCAGGTGGTCTTTATGTACAGTTTCATTTAGTACATATTTCAATGAGAAACTATTATCAAGGGAAACAAGAAAAGTGGTCTTTATAGGCAGGTCGTCTGTATGTACAGGTTCCATTAGAACATATTTCAATGAGAAACCATTTTCAAGGGAAACAAAAAAATGTGGTCTTTGTAGACAGGTGGTCACTAAAGCAGGTTTGACTGTATATGTACCAGTATGTAGAAGACGTGTGGAATACTGACTTTGCACTGTAATCGTGACATGATAATTGGGATTTAAATTATTTGCTTCCGCAGCATTTGCTTATTTACTGCACTATTATGGATGAAATGATCTCTTGGTTCCATTGATGCCATTTATGTTATCCAGTACAAACTTATTTATATGCACATACAAATTATGACATATTTTTTATATATTATAATCTTATTGTATCATCTTGCATTACACGGAGGTAATGAAAATTGCCTTAAAGTGAACAAAGTTTGTGATGTGTGTACTTTTTTCATCGAGGCATTTTTCCTACTGTAGTAAGTGTTTGCATGCTGAGAGAGGAGGCACGGGACCTCATAGTGTCGTCTGAGTATCTTTTATTAGTGGCATCTCATTTTTACATGATTATCAAGCTACCTACCATGCAGCTATATGCTCAGTGGTTGCTTGAATAGTCTGGAAATTTCTTTGTTGATATTAAAGGGGTATGTGTGTACGAGTGAGAATGTGATACACTGAATGGCAGATGGTAGGAATGGTGATGAGATGAATTAATGGAATGGTATAGACTATAGAGTCGGGTGTATGTTTATGCAGATTTTATTGTTTGCTGTCTGAGTGATACAAAACAGTGTATCTATACAGCAATACAACCTTTGTCTACATCTACAACAAAACAACAACAATAACTACTACTACTACTACTACTACTACTACTACTACTACTACTACTACTACTACCAACACCACCACTTCTACAACTATTCTTTTTGGTGTAAAATATACTTCAACTTTTTCGGCTTCTGTTATTTATGATTCACATTCTACCCCTGTATTCACACTGCTTCTATACTACTACTTCTTCTTATGTACTGTCTGTCCTCTCCACTAATATTCTTTGTATAGTCTTTGTCTATTTCTATAATGATTCTCTTTTTTCAATCTCTCCTCTACTACATCTACATGATCTCTTTTCCCATTATATTAGTTACTGCGTTACTACTACAGTTCTAACACATCCAGCCCCATGTCTTGTGTTCGAGTGATTCTAGTGCTTGTATTTCTGCTACAGAAAGTATAACTATAATGTATCTACTTCAGTGGCAGATTAAGGGGGCACATACGGCCTATGTCCCCCACCTTTTTTTTCTTCTTTCTTTTGAGACCAAAATGACATAAATTCGGTACAAAATACCAAGATTATGCCCCTTTTTTCTTCTTGTCAGAGAATTTTGTGGTAGGAAGACACCCCTAAATATAATTAAATAAAAAGGAGGTGAAGATGCAAGGCTCTCACCTCTACTTCTATTCTTCGTTTGCTTCTTGAGGTTACTATACCCCTACTTCACGGGACAACTACCCCCAAACTATCAAACTGTCATTACCTTCAATGTCGCCGTCCTATAGTGATTAGGAGGAGTTAAAAAAAAAAAAGATTACTACCATTAGTACACCAACCATCAACATGCTTTTAATTCAATGTATCGTTTAATAATTATAAAAGGTAACAAAATAAGTTGACACAATATCACATCCTCCCTTATATGGACGAGCCCCATCAACGACCAGTTTGAAACAACATATTATAGCTAGTATACAGTGTGAGTCCAAAAAAAAGTTTACACCTAAAAAAATGCTAATTATTTTAAAACTCATCTATGAACAGTAAATTATTATACATCTTATGAAAGAGTGTTTTATCCCAAATCATTTGGTATCATTTTTGTGTGGTATGTGTTCACGCTTGGATGAATAGGAGCCATTGTTTGCGAGAGTGCAAAAATCGATTTGCGCCAAATTTGCTTGTGTGATGTTTGAATAAAACAATTGGGATTTGGGTATCACTTCGGTCTTTGCAAATCCAAATAACATCCCTAACAAAATTAATCATGCCACACATATCGAAAATAGAATATCAATTATCAACGAACATTTGTGGGCGTGTGTGTATTTTTTTAAAAACTTTGCTTCTGCATAAAGCATATGCAATGCATTTCATTTGATACATTCCATTCATTCTCTCACTCCGCTAATCCCAACATAATACATGCTGTAGGCGTCACTTTGGCGCAAGTTCATTTTTGGCACTCTCGCAAACAACGCCTCGTGTTCATCCAAGCGTGAACACATAACAAACAAAAATGAAACCAAATGATATGGGATAAAACATTCTTTCATAAAATGTATTAAAATTAACTGTTCATAGATGATTTTTAAAATAATTAGCAATCATCTAGGTGTAAATTTTTTTTTGACTCACACGGTATTGAAAATTTGCCCAACTAAACGCTGTGGCCCGAATTCACAAAGCAAGGTTTGAGCTCAAACCTCCTTTTGTTTCGCCAAACCTCCTTATGTTCTTTACTAACCAGGTTTGTAAAAAACGCGTAAAACGCGTCATATGACGTACGAAAACCAAGGTTTGTCGACAAACCTCCTTTGTGAATTCGGGCCTGTATGTTTCAAACTGGTTGTTGATGTGGCTCGTCCATATCTGGAGGATGTGATATTGTGTCAGAAGAATGTGAAAGGATAACAAAAATACATTTGTATGAACAGTATGATATAGAATATAGTTGTATGAATAGTATGGTATAAAATGGAGTTGTATGATTTAGATATACGGAGAGATAGACATGGTAGAAAAGGAGAAAAATAATAACTGACATGATTGAGATACTAGAAACACAAAGTTCAAGTTGTATATCATTAAGAGAGAAGATGAGAGAGAGAGAGAGAGAGAGATAAGAAGAGAAAGAGATAAAATAAGAATGTTAAACATGTATCAAATTAATAAATTCCACCAAGTTTCATAATTTGATATTCAGTTATTAACGTTTACATTCAACCTTATATCATCGACAAAATCAAAAACAAAGTTCAAACTTACGAAATTTGAAGAAAGAGTTTTTAATGCCTTATATAACTTTGATCAAAATTGATACATCATTGTTCACAAGCTCACTTCAAAATCGCATGCACATTGCATAAAATCATAATTATCTTGCTAGCATTGCACTGTCTGTACTAATGTCCAAACTGTTTTAGATACTACAATTGGTAACTATTATATTGATCAGCGCTCACATTATAAATTGCCAATTTTGAACTCAGGTGACTCTTGACAGGTAGTATAGTTACGATGATTGAGAAAACTTACAATAATTTCACAATGGAATAAAATTGTACTAAATTATGATTATATATGCAAAAGTGGCCCTCACCTTACACCAAAATATAAGAATATAACACCCTTGAAAATGTTCACATTTCTACTCGTATATAATAAAACATTTCATGAGCGTAAATCTATATTCTGAAAGTCAATTTTTCACCAAATTGCACACCTAGCTATAAGTAGACCATATTGCAATTACAAGAACCATACTGTACATCAACTTTAATCACAACGATTCACATTTTTTTACATGCGAAAGAACTCAAATGAGTTGACCGTTACCACACATTAATATTCATATTTTCTAAGATGGATATATATTTTTTGAAGATGTTAAATATTAGATCGATTAAATTACAGTTTCACACACACAAGGAAAATACTGCCTCGAATTAAGCCTATGGACTTATATGTATCTAAGAATGTATCTAAGTATGGTATAATATAATCCAAAGAAACTATACTAAAGGCAGCAAAGTTGTTCTTTAAAATCTCGAATTAAATGTATCTAATGCACATGATATACAAGAGCGATTACAAACTTTCATTTTTCACAATCATAGTGTTTAAAATTTATTATTGAGATGGATTTTGACGAATGCTATTTCTAAATTCCTCTCTAGTAGTAATTTGCAACAACAAAAATTGGCCACAATGTCGTAAATCAATGCTTTCTAAATAGAAATCGAATATCTTTATTTAAACTCATGAATTATTTTTCAGTTCGAAAAGAAGTTCATGTATACAATGCTTAAGTGTATATTTTCCTAATCATTGCCAAAGCACACTAAGCAGCCATACATTAATTTCACCATTTAGTATAAACATAATGAAATTTGATCTTTAAAGAAAATTACCATGTCAAACATTAGCACAAACTGATGCTCTCCGATAAAATATAGGCATTCGATTGATGAAAGGCGTCTGAAACACCCTCGTTGAAATGAAACGGATGCATTTCCAACTCATGAAATGGTTTTACTCATATACCAATTAGATAATTATATACTATTGAGGCTCCTAATCTATGAATATAAATGTATAACTGACCTCTGATTTATTTCATTATATTCACAAAATTTGTTCGATAATAATGAAATTGTGAGAAAAAAATTACTGTAGGGAATTTTATGGGGATCATTATTATACACTGGGCATGAAAGACTATAAAACTCGGTCATAATATCTACGTATAAAATATACATTATAATTTTTTTTAGTTTGTCTACACTCCCCCCCCCTCTCTCTCTCTCTCTCTATCCCTCTCCCCCTCTCTCTCCCTCTCTCTCTCTCTCTCTCTCTCTCTCTCTCCCTCTCCCTCTCTCCTCTTCTCTCACTCCTAATCTCTCTCTTTTTTTTTTCTTCTCTCTCTTTCTCCATGTCTCTCTTTCGAAAGTAAAGTTTTTATTGATAATACTTTAATACCCTCTATTATTTGTGTTAATGACAAACGAGATTATCAAGGGTATAAAGTCAGCCGTTTCCAGTGGGTCACACAATATACCCTGTGATTTCACACGTGTTCTCTCTTGATGCAGAGATGTTGAACAGTCATTGATGGATCACTCTTTTAGTCTCTTTGGACTTGAATCCACTCCAATACATAGTAAAATCCACTCCTAAGTAGTGATTGAATAAATCTTTCAGCAAAGATTCCACTCCAAATGGTGTGATTTTATTTTCTCATATGAATTTATAGCGGCCCGGTCCAAGATGATCTCCAACTAAATTTAGTTATAGGTTTCGCGGTTACCGGTCGGGTAGGTGACATACCAGATAGGCGGAGAGCTTCAGCCTCTTCGGATTCCTTGGTCGGCTCGGGTTGCTTCTTGAGCTTGCGAACGATTGATTGTACAGCATCACGATCTGAGCATAATGTATAGAATGACAGATCGGTTAGGATGAAAAGAGTTGCAGTTGTGGAGGAGTAATGTAATGTGACTATGGTCAACATAAATGTAGAAATGCTTTAAAAGAAGAGAGAAAAGGGGGTTCTTTCCTCTGCTTACAAAAAAGTTTATCACCAACATTGACAGGCTGGATACAGCAGACAGAAATTAAACAGCATCATAATCAAGATGTTTGTCTCCACTTCAAAAATACCCCCTTTTTTTTCTTCTCTCTCTCTCTCTCTCTCTCTCTCCTTCTCTTAACTCTATATCATTACATTCGCGTAGGAAAAATAACACCTATTCTGCCTCTTATTGATATAGTCTTGACTACTTATCACCTAGAAATCTGACGACAATGTTTTATTGGGACTCTGATAACCAAAGGCTTTGGAATAGTTTTGGATCGAAAGTGTAAGAATGTAAAAATCTACACTATACATTATATGAAATTCAGCTGTAAATCAATATGATTTTGCTGTTAAAATCAGTACTCACTGGGTCATTATTTCTGGAGTTGAGCCTGAATTAAAAAGACGTTCTCCAGCTTGCTATACCATCTTTTTCAAGTGAAAAATTACAAGATATGTATTTACCTTTTTCATCAGCAAGTCGTAAGAACTCATCAAGTTTTCCTTTAGCTAGTGCTTTGCTGAGTTGTTCTGTGCCTGGTTTGAATGGCTTGTTGTAGAAGTGATCATAGCTCGTTGCTTTACGTAGATGCATCTCGTGACGAGCGGTACTAGTATTGGGAACTGGTGGAGATAACAAGTTTTTAATTATGTTCTAAAAATACATCATTAAGTATTTCTGTAATTGATGCAGAAATATTTCTCTCTTAGAATTATAAATAGACTAACGTCCTTCCTAATTAAAAAATTGTTTGATTGTTATCTTAATGATCCTTAAAACCAACGATTTCCACAGTTTTTGTCAATTCTAAAAAAATCGGATTGGTCAAAGTCTTTTATTCTAATAAATCAAATGCAAGGGAAATATGAAAGGATAATAATAGTTACACATGTCATAAAGTAACAAAGTTCTTGAAGTCCAGGGATTTGAAGTCTAATAGTCTGTTTGAAGCCAGAAGGGTTCTATGTAATAGATATAACGCCCTTCTGACTACAAACAAACCTTCTTCAGGCGAACCCTTTCATCACTGTAATCGATGACGAAATAAAGGAATAAATGAATATTATGTCGGTTTTTAAGTTATGTCCTCCGTCATTTTTCTAAACTTGAATTCAGTATGAAATTATAAGACCAAATATATTAATTTTCTATGATGACTATTTACCTATGCCTGTTGATGGTCTATTGATGTTCCTATTGCAGCCGAAGCGGGATATATTGTTAGTGAGATCTTTATGTTGTCTAGGTGCCTGGTATATGGCTCTGGTAGTAGACTCGTGGCTGTATGGGACCTTCTCTCTCCAGTCTACATAGTCTTCCATAGCGGTCCGTACCTGGTAACCTGGCGTTGGAGAAACATAACGACACATTATATTTTTGTGAAATTGAAGTTACAATTTAACTTTTGAAAATGTTCTATTCATCATCAATCCCTTCCTTCATACTGTGGGTGGCCAGGGTAAATCATGAATAACATGCCAAACAATATCCATAGAATTGAATTTCTTTATTGTCATGTACAAAATAAAACGAAGGCATAAAAATCGTCTTATACGGTTCACATTTGTAAAAAAATATAACAATACATTAACATAATCATAGACAAAAAAACTACAAATAATAGAAATCCATAGATTTAGTATATCAGCTGTTCACTGCATGTATAATTCGGTTAACTGCCATTATTCTTAAATATTAATAGTAACATTTGAATTTCGTGTCTTATTTGTAAATGTTCAATTATTTTTAAATACGACATTGTGCATTTATTCAAAATAATTATTTCCTTTATTAGTTAAATATCTGAATTAAAACGATTGCAAAGAATTTCAAGAAATAAACTTCAGGGC